TGGACTTCCAGAGACTAGAGAACTTCCCCAAAGTCTTCCCACCAGTGAAGGAACCCATCAGTTTTTCTACCTTACTTTAGATGTTAAGAAAAAGACTACAAATTAGATTGTAATTAAGAACCTTCTTGTTCCTGGGTATGGTGGCACACACCTTTATCTCAGCTTTAAGCTATACTCTGTGTACTTGTCTAGACCAGGGAATGCCTTATGCTTTTTCCATGGGCAATCCTCTTTTTGCTTAAGAATTTTAAAAATATATTTCATTTGAATTTGTTCTCTTAAATGCTTATTGATTTCACTTGTAAATAAACTCTTGTTTGGATTGCCAAACAAAAATAAAGCTGAAGCAAAACACCTTTCTGCTTTGATAGGATTTGGGGAAAATGTAGGAAGGCACTACTTGTTTTGTTGTTGTTGTTTTGTTGTTTTTGTTTACTGTAAACAATGTACATGAAATAACTCCACCAATATTAGTTATAGTATCATGTCTGTGTTATCTGCATGTTCTGATATAACACACATAAATACCAATATACCTAGAAAAGTTGCTGCAGCAGTTACATGAATTCTTGCCTGGCAGAGCTATAAAGGAAGAGTAATTTTAAAAGAGTTTTATATACTATGTAGAAGAAAGCTCTGGTATCTCTCTCTTTATTTGTCTTTTTTTTTTCAAGACAGTGTCTCTCTGTATACTACTGGCTGTCCTACCTGCCTCTGCCTCCCTGAGTGCTGGGATTACAAGCATGTGACACTATGCCAGGCTACTCTAGTACCTCTTAAACAATAGGTTACAACAGAATGATGCTGCTTGCAAGTTGTTATCCTTTCACTTTGGCTCATTTTCAGTTTTGTGATTTTGCTTGACTCATCTGCTTAGAAAGCAACCCGGCTAAAAAGTATTAAAAAATAGATTCCTACTATTTCTTCAACATCTCCATTTTCAAGTTTCATACTATACCATATCCATAGTATGTCAGCACTTCTTCAATATTAAACAGAAACATTATTAGGCAAAACTCTTCAAGAAATGCAGATGTCTATAACTACAATGGTACTAGACAGGGAAGAAACACTGAAAGACTTTTTAAAAATGACAATATGTGCAGGGAGGAAATGTGGTTCAAAACTTCGGATTTAAAAACAAGTTCCCCAGAAATCTAGCTATCATGGAATTTCCAGAAAACTTTGTCTCCCAAAATGGAACCAAAAAGCCCTAAACCAAATTTTTGGAAATAAGTTATGAGATGCTATAAATGATCAAAAGAGTGAAAGGGAAGAGAAATGTGACTTTTGTTGAGCTAGAGTGTCACAATCTGTTTAGCAGTTGGTGAACCAGTAAAAACTACTGAAGTCTAGAAGTGCTTTGAAACATAGGAAGGAGCAGGCTTGAGGGGATAATGAAGATCTTCCTGCATAAATTTGAACAGGTTGAGGTTGGAGAGATGGCTCAGCAGTTAAGAGCACTTGTTGCTCTTATAGAGGACCTGGGTTCAGTTTATAGAACCTACATGGAGGCTCACCTGTAATTCAAGTTCCAGGAGATCCAGCACCCTCTTCTGTCTTCAGTGGGCACAGGAAAAACACTCACATACAAAATAAAAATAAACCTTTTAAAAATTAGAAAACTTCAGTGCTAGGACCATTTTCTAAACAGTAAAATGACTTCAGGATAGGTCTCTCCAATATTAAATATATCACAAGTTTTTAAAGATTTACAAGTAGAAATAGAAATAAAAAGAAATTACAAGGCAGAGGAACACACACCAAAAAATCAACACAATGTTATAAATTCAATGTTATAGGCTAGAAAATCTGTTAACCTTGTTAAACTAGCAAAATGTCCCTTTTGCTTATGTTTACAAATCACTTATTATCATATAACCATACCATGTTGAGTCCTTTTTCCTTGTGCATTTAAAATGCCTTTAAACATTTTGTATTTCTTTGCCAGTTTTGGGTTGAGCATTTTTTCCAGTTGATTTTGGTGCAGGTAACAAGAAACTGCCAGTACAAGGACTTGAATATGGTATCTAACATTGTTTGATTATTTTTCACTAACTACTGTCTGATACTCATTTTCTGCACTCTATGAGTTTAACACACTCTTTGGCAGTTTGGACTTTATTAAAAACAGTTATTGATTCTTCCTTATCTTGATGACTAACCAAGTGAACATTGTCATCATCATAACTTGAATCTTGAGCATTTCAACCACCTAGGCTGTGGGTGGTAAACATCTCTGATATCCAATGGCTGCCAGTCCAAAAGTTTTTAGGCTGAAACTGGTGGTTTTAAATATATGCAGTAATAATCTGTTATGCATCTACAGTTTTCATATAAGCAGTACAGGAGCTATTGGAATAATTGTCTTCCATGTGGGCTGTTAAAGTTCCATCACAAGATTGTCTCCAAGACTTCAAATCTTGTGTGGGTCCCTACAAGTAACATAGCCAGCAGTGGGGGAATCGCAGATTGGCAAGAATGAAACTTACTTTAGCATAACTTTAGTTGGCTGATGATGGTTCAAACTTCTGGAGTCTGACTCCAGTTGGTTTATTTTAGCCATATTTAAGCATAGCACAAGTTGGGAGAGTTCTCCAATGACAATTAACTCAGTCCCAGATGTACAACAAAGCTTAAGACATGTTCACATTGAAATTCTTTACAAAATAGACATGCCTCCTTTCATAAAGACAGGCTCTACACTTAAGACACAGGTCTAGGGAGAATGACTGAGGTAAACATAAAGGGTCTGGGCAAAATAAGGTAAACATAATTCCTGTGGGAATCAGGATTGACCTGGCTCTAGGATAACAAGAAGTAACTTAGGTTGTTGTAAAGTGCAAGTGACATCTCTCATAAGAATGGGTTTTTATGGCCTAGAAACAATGCTCGAGATTTATTTCCGGGGGAGGGGAGTCTGGGATAAATAAACATAATATTCTGGGGGAATTTGGGTGAAGCACGGAAAAAAGATCAGACAGCAAAAGATCAACAGGTCTTCTTAACTATAACCTTTCCCAGTGTTCCGGGTGGAAGACAAGTAAATATCTGAAGAGACAAGCCTGCATGTTTAACATTTCCTGGTTTCTTTACTGCTTATCTATGTGCTTGAGGACTTCTTACCCTCTACAAAACCTGTCTATGTTCTCTGGGAGGTTACCTACTTCTTTCCAAAATTATCAAACTTAAAATAACCTTTGTTTCTTGGATCTGAAACTCTACTATTCTCTGGGTCAGTGTGCTCTGTAACTAACACCTAGTCTTAGGCTGAAGAAATTGCTCAGCAGGTAAGAGCAGAGGCTGCTTTTGCAGAAGACTCATGCTCAAATCTCAGCATTTTACACAGCTGCTCATATCCATGTGTAACTCTAGTTCCAGGGGATCCAATGACCTCTTCTGGCCTCACACAGGCATTGTACACTTATAGTGCATAAACATACATGCACGCAAGACACCCATACATATTTACAAGGAAAAATGTCTTAAAAGACCTAATGTTCCTAATTTTCTAACTTCACAGATGAAAACTAACCCATGTTATACTAGGCAAACATGGATACTGCTCACTGCTCCTTCCTTAGGAAAAATGTCATTATTGAATAGTAACGAGGCATCATTGAATATGGCATTCAACTACCCTAGAGTACTTTGGTGATGAATTTAGCAGCTCTATATACTTGTTTTATTTTCTTCAAGGAACTTGTCACCACTAAACATATAATTAAATATTTATTTTTCAATATCTTCAAAATAATTCCAGGAGCCAGGTACATGCCTGCAATCCCAGCACTCAGGGAGGCAAATGCAGGTGAGTATCTGTAAATTCAAAGCCAGCTTGGCCTACAAAACAAGTCCATGACATCCAGGTCTACACAGAGAAATCCTGTCTTGAAAAAAAAATAATTTCAGGAGCATAGAATAGAGGTCAGCAAACTTTTTCGTCACTTGAGACTAAATCCTAAAAGTTTTGGTTGCTCTGGCTGGCTCAAGGCAAACTGGACTGAGAAATTTTTATGTGGCCCTGTGTATACAGCTATTTAAAAAAGCCATACAAATTAAACATTTACTGATAATAAATCATAAAGAAATTGATTTACTTTTAAATGATCCTTTGGTATATATGCTTGACACAAGCTAGAGTCTTCTGGGGTTAGGAACCTGAATTGAGAACATGTCTCCATCAGATTGGCCTGTGAGTATTTTCTTAGTAATTGATGTGGGAGGACACAGCCCACAGTGGGCAATATCACCTCTGGGCAGGTGATCCTGGATTATATGACAAAACAGGCATTATGATCTCTGCATTAGATCATAATGCCTCCAGATTCCTGCCTTGAGTTCCTGCCCTGATTTCCCTTAGTAACAGACTATGATATAAAAGTATAAACTGAAATAAACCCTTTCCTCCCCAAATTGCTTTTGGTTGTGGTGTTTATCACAACAATAGAAGGCAAACTAAGACAGCATACAAATAATTTTAACATTATTAAAGATTAAAAAATTATATAGTAGTACATGAAGAATTAAATCTTGCCTAGATATTTTATATTGCAGGATGTAGCATCTTTAATTTTATTATTTTTTTTTAGATTTGATCAATATTTTGATTTTAAGATCAATTCAGAGAATATTACTCCCCAACACTTGTTGATTTTTCTTTCACACATTTTATGTTTCTAAGGGCTAAATATTTGTCTGGTTGTTCTTTTTGACTTCTCCCACTCAACTTAAACTTCACTAAGTGGAGCATATTTTTCTATTAATTAGACATTTAAATTCCTTCTGTACATTTTCATGTAATTTCTCCATTCTATACTACTCCCCTCAATAATTTACAGTTTTTTAACAATGTATTTAACAATCCTCTTCATTGAATATCACTGGTGTCACATATTGTATTAGCCAAGATTCACTTATAGAACAAATATACACACATACACAATTTATAGAACAAATACACACACACACAAACATGCACACACACACATACACACACACAGAGAAAGGGGATTTATTAGAATAATTTACAGGCTGTGATCCAGCTAGTCCAACAATGGCTGGCTATGAATAGAAGGTCCAAGAATCGAGTGGTTGTTCAGCCCATGAGGCTAGTCTTCCATATATGCTGGAATCCTGAAAAAGCCAGTAAAGGAATGCACTTGTTAGTGCAGGCAAACAGCAAAAGCTTCCTTCTTTCATGTCCTTATATAGGCTTCCAGCAGAAAGTGTGACCCAGATTAGCTCAAATAATCTAGATAAAACGTATATCTTCCCATCTCAAGATCTGGATTAAAGGCATATGTTTTCCCAATTCAAAAGATCTGGATTAGCCAGGCATGGTGGTGGTGCATGACTATTATCCCAGGGCTCAGGGAGGTAGAAGCAGGCAGATCTCTGAGTTTGAGGCCAGCCTGGTCTACAGAGTGAGTCCAGGACAGTCAGTGCTACACAGAGAAACCCTGTCTCAAAAAAATATTATTTTAGTGTATGAGTGTTTTGCTGCCACATATGTCTGCATCACATGCAAGACTGATGTTTATGAAATCAGGATCAGATTCTCTCACCATGTCTCAAAAACAAACAAAAAGACAACATTTTATAAAGCTTCTAAAATTAAAATAGTGTGGAAGCTAGGAATTTGGATACATGTTTGAAATCCCACCATTCAAAAGACAAAGGAAGGAGGGTTTCTAGCTCAAAACCTAAACTACAAGATTAAGTTCAAAACCAGCCTACACTAAATAGCAATACCATGTCTCAAAAACTAAACAAACAAAAAAGGCCATGTAAATAAAGGAAAATTTTTTAAGAGTGGAGAGGGAGCTACAGAAATAGCCCAGCAGTTAAGACCACATACAACTCTTGCAGAGGATATGAACTACATTATCAGCACTCACATCATGGTAGCTCACAACTTGCCTTTAAATCCAGCACCGCTGGCGGGCGGGGGCGCACGCGCGCGCACACACACACTGACACACACACTTCTAATAAATAAATGCAGGCACACACTTCAAATAAATGCACACGCACGCGAGCACAAGCACACACACTTCAAATAAATAAGTAAATATACATTTAACTCCCTCTCCCTACCTTCTTGTAAACCCAACCTCGCTCAGAACCCGCCAAATGTCATTAACCGCTAGCACGCGCACACAGGCACACACTTCAAATAAACAAATAAAATTGTAAACGCTTAACTCCCTCTACCTACTTCACTGTGAGTCCAGCCTCCCTCAGAACCTGCCAAATCTTATTAAACTTCACCCAAACCAACCTCCCGCTGGCTAGCGACCTCCTGACAGACAAGGAGCCCGGCCCTCTGGCTTGATAGGATTGTGCAATCTCCAAGGGTTCACTTAGACTACGACTGAATTGCTTCTCTTAAGCGCGCCTTCTCCTATTCCGGACCGCCTCTCTCCATCCATTTGGTTGACGCCCATGCAGGAAACACGTCATCCATCTGCGCCATGCGGAAGCTGCGGATCATACTAACAGTTATTGCGGGTGGGCCTAACGAAGGTAAGCACCGCCCTTGGGTACCGGTGAGTGAACGAGCCCAAGAGTCGGGTTGGGCAGAAAGAGGAACCCCATAGCAAGAGCTGAAAGAAGGCATGCAGCGTTGAGAGGTTGGAGGGAACTTTGTGAAGTTAAATTGGAGGGTTTAACGCGGTAACCCCCCCCTCACTCCCCAGGAGCTCATTATGGCGACGCCCCCGAAACGGCGAGCCTTGGATACTACAGGGGGAAAAGTGCTGCGGTATGAGGCCTTTATCAATGACGTCCTGCAACGAGACTTGAAGTGAGTGACAACGCAGGAGGCGTGACGTTTGAGAAATTCCACGTGATGGGTGGGACAGAATCCTAGCCAAACTTTCGGATTGGCCAACCAGACGACCTGTAGAGGTTGACGTCAAGGCTGCGATTTGGTTGGAACTTTACTTTGGCAGCGCCTTCCACCTTGTTTGTCTTATAAAAATAGTCATTCTGAACCTAGGGTGTTTCTGACTAAGCTATTTAAACCAATATTTAGGAGCAAGTTGTACCATACTTCGCCTCTCTATGCTTTATGAACTTTGCTCATCTGTGAAACATAAAAGCTTATGGGGCCTTCTTAATGTGTATTTTTTTTTGAGTTTTAAATATATAAACCAATATAAAGAATGTAGCACAAAGCCCAGCATGATAGCACATGACTGTAATTCCAGCATGAGGGAGGCCAAAGCAGGAGGATATTTGAAAATTGGAAATTATCCTGGACTACAGACTGACTGTCCCTCAAAGGAAAAAAAAATAGAATGAAGCCAGGCTCAGGCTCCGTGATATGTGCCAGTAGTCCTATCTAGTGGAAAGGTGGGAAAATTAATTTCTTTAGCCAGGATATTCAAGCCAGCCTTGAAAATAGAACAAGGTTATATTTAAAAAAAAAAAAAAAAAAAAAAGCCCAGTGTGGTGAAACAGTCTCTGTACTTGGGATGGGTGTCTGAAGCAGGATGATCTAGAGTTCAACGCCATTAAGCCCAGGTTGATTACAGCGTAGGCTCTGAGATAGGCCCTCAAAACAAGCAAACTAGGGCCAGCAAGACAGCTTGCCTCAAACCCCATGCCGTGAGTTAGATCTCTGAGACCCACATTGTGGAAGGAATAAGACTCCTAAAAGCTGACCTCTGACCTTCAGGTATCTACCATGGCACCCATACATGTACACAAAATATATGCATAATTGTAAGTAAGAATATACTTAAAATTGCAGATAAACCCAACTACTATTATATTAAAGCTGAGAGGAAAGGAACGTTTCATGTGCTTACAGAGTCATTACTAGCCTGGGAAACTCAGATCTTGTTTTGGAAAATAAAACAAATAACCTGTATAGTTAATTTGAAAAAGGAATTTAGCTCCAGTTTTTTAAATACACTAAAAACTCAATAACTGGATGGTTACTATTGCTGTCATTATTAATCTGAACAGAAAGTTAGATGTTCAGAACCAGGGCTGTGTGAGCATCTTAAAAGAGATGGGGAGTACATTTAGGGTGAACATGGGACTCTTTAGTTGTCATAAGGCACTGAGTAAAATGAAATATTTGTAATAGTAATAGGTAGCAAGTATACAATACTTACCATTTGGCTTAAATTTAAAACACTTTGTAGTAAATGCTTGATTTTAATGACTCCTGCAATGTAATACTGTCATCTATTTTATTTGTGAGGAAATTTAATCCTAAACAGGTTTCCTGCTTTTCAAAGTCATATTACTAATAAGAGGTAGAGCTCAGGATGAAATACAGTCTGACCTGCATTATTAAAAATGCCTGGTGTGTCTCTGTCCGTATACCATCGTGTGTGTGTGTGTGTGTGTGTGTGTGTGTGTGTGTGTGTGTGTGTGTTAATGCAGAAACTGGTAGCACAGGCTGATCGTAAACTCATAATCCTCCTGCCTCGGTCTCTCAGTTGCTGGGATTATATCTATGAACTACCAAACCTGGCTTAAAATGCCTGTTAGGACATAATGTCAGGTATCTCGAGGAATAAGGCTGCCTAATGTTCACTGTTGTATTTCCACATATCAGAAAGGTGCTGGACCATCGAGACAAGGTATATGAGCAGCTATCAGTATACCTTCAACTGAGAAATGTTATTGAGCGACTCCAGGTAAAGGGTTTTAAATTGGGTATCAGTTTGTATATGTGTACAAAGGGTGGCGGGAAGAGAAACCCCAGAACAACAACTTTATCTGCTTTAGAAACTGACCACTTATATCTCTTTTCTCCTGGCCCTACAGGAAACCAATCACCCGGAATTATATATGCAGGTGGACTTGGGCTGTAACTTCTTCGTTGACACAGTGGTGTGAGTGTATTCCCTCTCTGAGTTTCTCCCTTCTTCATGTATTTATTAGTATTTTCTATACCAGACTCTAGTACCTTTTATTTTACATTAGGATATAAGCTACATGCTGTGGGTGTGACAGTGAATGAATACAAAATATCTGCCCTTATAGAGCCTTCACTTTGCGGAATAGGAAGGAATAGGAAACACCTTAAATATGCTAAATGGTAATAAAGACTTCCTCCACTTTCTCTGACCTTTTTTCTCAGCCCAGATACTTCACGCATCTATGTGGCCCTGGGATATGGTTTTTTCCTGGAGTTGACACTGGCTGAAGCTCTCAAGTTCATTGACCGAAAGAGTTCTCTTCTCACAGAGTGAGTTCATTCCAGGAGGATAGTGTCTAAAACCACCTTGGATAGGGGTACAGGGAAGTGGTAAGAGCATTTGCCTAGCATGTGTGAAACCCTGGGTTCTATCCATCTCACACACCACACACAAATGCATAAAAGCCAAATATGGTAGTGCACACCTGGAATCCCAGGACCCTGGAGGATGAAGCAGGAGGATCCTGAGTTTGAAGCCAGTCTGGGTGATAAAACAAGGCCCTGTACATAAAACAAACAAAAAACTGAATAAAAAGACATCCCAAATCTTAACCCTTTTCCCCAAGGATACCTGGGATATTACTTAGAAAATCATATTACCTTCCTCTTTAGGACCAGAGCTAATAAAAATGATGATGCAAAGTTCAGCCAGGGAGTTTTACTAAACACTCAGTAAATGTTTTTTATATCATTCTTTCACACGTTTATACCAGGTTGTGTGGTTGGTGTTGAGAATACAGCAGTAAACAAAACAGAAGAGTCTTAGATGCTTACATTCTAGGACTTGGCTGTTATATGTACATACATCTATGACACGTCCATCTCAAGCATCAGTAACAATCAAAGAAGCTACTTCTCACTTACCTATCTGCTAATGTTCCTGCTCATTCACTGGGTTCTCACCACTTTTAACTTCACATGCCTGTACCCACACATGCAGAGACAATGCCTTCCTCTATTGCTGTTTGTTTTATTTCTCTTGAGACAGGGTCTCCATAAAACCTAGAGCTTGACATTTTTTGGCTTCAGCGAGTGCCAGTGCTGGTGTTAGAGTTTTTCCATTGGTACTGAGGATACAAGCTCAGGTTCTTATGCTTTTACAGCAAATGTTTTGTCCACTGAGCCATCTCCCCAGCCCTAACAAATGCTTTAAGCATTTCCTACCTTTGGGAGCATTCAGTAGCTGCTGTTGTCTGTCTGCAGCACTCCCCATGTAGTTTCTTGGTTATCTTACATAAATAACAAGTTCCTCTGTGACATAACTTCAAAATTGCAACATCTAGTATTCTTGAATTGGCCCCCTTGGATTTTAATACATTACTGTTAGCTTGTGTAGGCATGTGTTAACATACATGTGGAGATCAGAGAACAGCTTTGTGGAGTTGGTTCTCTCCTTCCAAGAATTACATAAATGGAACTTGAATCTACAGGCTTATGTGGCAAGCACATTTACTCACTGAACCATCTCACCAACTATCTTCTAGTTTTTCTCTTTTTCTAGCATCTTATTACCTCTTAATATTTACTCTGAAATTTCTTTCTTTCTTGTGTTTATTATCTTTTACACTTAGGTAATAAGTATTATTTACATTTTTTTACAGTACTAAGACTTGAAGCCAAAGTCTCTTCTGTACTAAGCAAGAGCTCTATTACTGAAGTATGTCCCTAGCCTAGTTTATAGGCATTATAAAGGAAGAAGTTTATACTGTAGATCACTAAAATAATGTAAAGCACAAAGTTTCTGTTGAGTGAATTATGTTAGAAGCAAATTGAAGGGATAATAGAAGCTTATCTATGTGAGTAGTGGTGGGGAGAGAAAAAAATGTGGGCTCCATTACTTTTGGTTTGGGGTACAAAAGAACTACTTTGGGTGAGGAGTTTGAAATATAGGTAGTGTCGTAATTAGAGAGATGGCTCAGCAGTGAAGGATACTTTCACTCTTTGCAGAAGACCCAGGTTCTATTTCCAGAGTTCACAACCTTCCTTAACTCCAGTGCCAGGGGATCTGATGCCCTCTCCTGGCCTTTTAGCAACAAACACACAAGTCCTATAGAGCTTACATGCAGGCCAAACATCCATACACATAAAATAAGTAGGTAGTGGAGGCCACCTATAAGATCTACTCTCAATTCCCACTCCCAGATGAGTAGCATTTGAGTCATTACACTGGCTGAAAAAGCCATGGGCTATTGGGGGGGGGGGATATTACTGGCATGCTAGAAAAACTGTCACATATGGCATAGCTTAGAGAAATGAGTATGATGGAGCAGTGATAAATAACCACTCACAAACATAAACACCTTCAATGTAAAACTTCTCCTTGGTCATGTTTATCCTTAGATTCCTTTTGTCTAGAGTTGTCTTCTTTATAGTATTTGCAGTTATTCTCTTGAGCTTTTATTCTCTTAAGCTTTCCAGAGTTTTTAGTGTTAGAAGATCACAAGTGCAATTTTTATATACAGGGATTTTTTTTTCTTTTTGAGAATTGACATTTTT